TTGTCACTATATAATTCACCTAATGGCTAAGTTAAGCTTAAGTTTTGGCTCAGAAGATCCAGTTAAAAGAGAAAGAGAGGTTACAAGAAATTATACAATCGTAATTAAATAAAGATGTTGTATATACAGATTGTATATACAATCGTATATACAATCGTATATGCGATCGTAATATATATAAAACCCTTTGTCATTTTTATTACAAAAATATAACACGTCAAAACCTTAATAACTTGTATATGTAAATAAATTGAAAATCTCGCTCTATTCACACAAGACCTTATACCATGATCCGTTTTTTTTTTCAGTTTATTTACTTCTTAACTAATTTCTGATAATTGTTTCTTGTGAAAAAAAAATCATAGGAGGCTAGGAGCAGTTAAAATGAGATAATGGATGATGTATGCAAAACTTGGATAATGTTTACTAGATAATAAACATAATAATAATAATAAATCATTTCCACTACGCTTCTTCCTGCTCCACTTTTCAAAACTATTGGCTTATTCCATTCCATCTTAATAAAATATATTCAGGTATTGGATAAATAATACCAAGACTGAGCACTAGCTAGCTAAGAAACTACATTATGTTTACTAATATATAATGTTGGTATAAAATACAAGTATATATCTAGAAAATTAAAGCTAATATCGATTCTTATAAACTCTATAACAAATCTGGATACTTCATGGTTATCGTTCATAATGGTGGCTTATGGCTATGGACGGCTCATGCATGTTATGGGTTATATGGTAATTAAAAAAGTGAAGTAACAAAGTATACATGTATTGGGGTAGTAATATTGACAAGTGTTTCCAACAAAAACTATATATGATAGTTATACCATCAGTGATTAAGTGTTAAGATGAATGCATAATGTGTAAACCATTAATTTAGTTCTAGAAAAATCATCACATTTAGTATCACTGTATGAATGATATGAACAATATATATCATATATGGTTATGTTTGGACATAGATGAACGTACACTAAGTCTTGTATAATCGTCTAAGATATTTTTAAGCAAGATTTTGCTCTGAGATACCTGATTAAGAATGATTTTAGGAGATTTTACTATGTGAATATGCAGCCATGCAGGTGCTGGCTTAAGTGTGTATGTGAGAAGTAGGATGTGAGAACAATGACGTTTTCAAATTTTCATCTTTACTTTTAAGCGAAGTATATGTATATCGAAGGGAAATTTTTTTGTCTTATTCAAAATATTTTAAATCTACTATTATATGCTTTCATAAGAACTTTAATATAATAACACAATTTTCTTTTATATAACTTTATTCTTTTTCTTTTTTTTTTTCCTCTTTTTATCATCTCTTTAGTCATCCACTAAGTCAAAAAGCTATTCATACGAGTGGCTCCAGGCTACAAGGCATCTCTAAAATTTTCATTTGTTTAGTATAATTTTACTCAAAAACATTATGTTAGCTGATAATTTTAAACCGAAATTATGAAACAATAAACCATACAAATTAGAGACAAAAATCTCTACAATTCTAAATTTTTCGAAAAGAAAAAAAATCTCCAATCCTGAATTTTTCTTACTTAGAGACGAAAACTTAGAGTGGAATGTGACCGTTAGCTTTATCTTTTTTCCAATGTCTTCTTTTATGAAAACAAAGTTAAAGACTTGCCAATCAGAAAACACGTAAATTACACAACTTTACCCTCCACTATCAAAAGTTATATCTAGCCACCCCACTACTCTACAATCTCGTCTTTTTCACACGAAAATTGTTAAAATTCTTCAAAATAAAACCCCTGACATTGATATTAAAACTCTCACAATCATAACTCACGATATTCCCATAAAGCTTCAAGAACGAAAATGTATGTGACGAGAACATTATCGCAGTACAGAAAATATCACAAGACGCTCTCGGAGGAGTCACCGGAAGGTCCTTTCTCCGGCGTTCTGGTTATTACAGACGAAGAAGCAGAAACAGAGGACACGTTCTGTTTCGGGATGTGTACGAGGACAAAAATCGAGAAGCTTCCGTTGCCTCAGGACAAGATCTTATCAGTTGTTCACTTAGACAGTTCTGGTAACCGAGAGACTTCGGTTAAGAAGGTCTTGTTCATACCGGCTCTTGATCAACCCTTGTCTTCGAATCGGTATTACGTTGTTCACGCTAGAGGCAGGCACAAAGGGTAAGATCCAAAAACACACACACCAGAGTGTCTTAAGTTGTAAGGCTTACTTTCAGATTTGAGTCCTGTCTTTGGTCTTTTGGTGATTAGTGTTGTGAGCTCTTCTTTTCTTGTTTTTATTTTACTTTTCAGGAAAGTATCCGTGTGTTCTAGGGAGATAGAGAAAGGGTTATGTTGTTTTCCAGATATCTTGCATGACAAGAAACCTAAACCTTTAGATCCAAGAAACATATATCAGACGGTTAAAATCAATCGGCATCACGATAGGACGTTCTTTGCGAAATCTGTGGCACCAGAAGGTACACCGCCTTCGTTTCTCAAGAAGAAAGGATGGGAGCTACGAACCTCGAGGAGCCTACATCCGAGGAGACCTAGAGAAGCTCTAGGCTTAGACGATGAGCTAAGAGCTCGTCTCCCTGCATTCGGATTCCCAGTCTCTACAATTCGGTCAGGAAGCGTGATAGTAGGAGAATGGTACTGCCCGTTTATGTTTGTGAAGGAGAATTGTAGTGTAAGTCACCAAATGAGGAAGTCAATGTTCTATAGGATCACACTTTCCCAATACTGGGAACGGATCTACCATTGCGAAAACAACGAAACCAACGAAAATCATGACGAAAACAATGATGATAACGAAGAAGAAGTGGTGAGAGTAGAGGCAAACGTCGTGAGAGAAGCCAACTATGTGAAGGGTATGGAGGCGGTTATGGGGGAGAAAGAAGGGCATGGAGGGTTTTATTGGTATAGGCAAGTTCAAGGTTTACGAGGACCGGTGGAGAGGAGGAGGAAGACGGGTTCAGGGTCTCCGGTGGGGCTGAGTTTTGTGGTGGTAGAAAGGATGAGAAGGGTAATGGAGGAAGGAGGGTGGGTGGGAGGAGGAAGGAAGGTGGTGAGAGTGGAGAGAGATGAACCAGTTAGGGTTTCTCGAAGAGATTGTAGGAATATGAATGGAAACAACGATAGAGATTGGAGGAGATTTGGGTGTTATGTGTTGGTGGAGAGTTTTGGGCTGAGAAGAGCAGATGGAGTTTTGTTGGTTAAGTGCATATTTAGACATACTAATAGATTGAGATGTAAGTGGGAGTAACGTTAATTCGTTTATGTTATAAAATATAAGTATACAATATTTACTAAAATCGTAAGCCTGGTTTTACTTTTTTTTGATAAGAAAAATAATATTGTTACGAGAATATATTTCTTCCATTTTTAGTTTAACATATAATATATTTTCTAATGAAATCATATACAATATAATCTATGAATAAAATCGAACCATATTCTTACCATCACAATATCTCAATTAATGTATCATAAGTAACAGAAAACAATAGTTTTAAAATTTATATTTATTAATTATATTATTTATTTTAAAACTACTAAAAATAGAGAAAGAGAGCATTTGCAGCTTTCAATGCTCACTTATATATTTTTAGCAAATATTTATTGGATGATAAAATAATAATGTTTCTCAAAATATTCAACCAATCAAGACCTAACACAACCATATATCAAAATTTTGGAAAAGATAAAGGGAAATAAGAGATATTTGTAAACTATTTCCATTTCTCATGTTTTTCGTTTTAAATGCCTGATTTTCTTATTTTTTTTTTCTATAATTTAATTAATGTATTTGGACATATGTACGAGTTTTGTTATAATATGTTATGCATACTTGGTTTGGGAGATAAACAGAAGGTATCATATCATAAAGGTATGTGGATTGAAGAAGTTGCTTAAAAGATGGAACCCTAAACGTAACTCGGCTAATTTTGGGCTATATGACACCACGTATACAAAGATTAGAACTTCAGCACACGTGAATTATGAGATTAGTTGTTGAAAACGTTAGATAGTTTGTTAATTATGAGAACTTGACATAGGGGATATCATTTATAATGATTTTTCCGTCGAAATTTAAATTTAAATTATAAATTAAAAAATAAATTATAATTATCACATGTGATTATTAAAATAATTTAATTTGGCAATTTTTTTTGAAAAAAACAATAATTTAATTTGTAAGAAAAGAAATGTTGATACGTTTGTGAAAATACACGTATAGGAACATGTATTCGCACATTCAGTATTGACTCATCATGTTTCGATGAATTTGGATATGTATTCACACATTTAATAGTTACTTTATGAGATATGTGTTATCCAATAATAGTATTGTATAACACAACCTTAAAAGAAAAGAAAAATGCACAACAAAGAAGAAATCCTCAATGTTCTAAGTCTCGACCAACATGTGAGATATGTGAAATTCACATATTGCTAGCAACTCGTCTACGGTCATGCATTCACGCATTTAGTAGTGAATCATCATATGTTCCGATGGATCCAGATATGCATTTGCGCATTTAATAGCCACTTTATAAATATGTATATATATCCTCGATAGCATTGTACTATACAACCTTTGAAATAAAAAGACAGAACAAAGAAAGAAAATACTAGATGTTCTCAAGTCTCTCGAGCACACAAATAAAGAAGGAAGGTCGCATTTCAATAAGAAGATGAAAATGGACCTTAAAGTCACAACTTCGCATTATACATTTCAAAGTCTAAACAAAACACGTGAGATATGCATATCATTGTCATGTCATTCGTCAACACGATTCCACCCCTTGTCCTTTTCAGTTCTCAGTGGTTGGTATTTTTGGGATTATTGGATTTTATTCCACAAACTTCCTCAATTGAAAAGAATTTTATATTAAAGACTTTTCTCTTTTATGGAAGATAGAATAATCCAAGTCGTTAAATTGAGAAAGACCAACTACGAAAATATCAAGAGTCACTATATTTTTTTGGATCTTTTCTTTTGTATTTTTTTCCCTTTCTCGTCGTTTAAAGATCTCAAAAAAGTATGGCAAGATTTTACAGAATCCTTACTTTGGTCACGACGACCCTTGTGATCTTGTTTCAACTATGTAGCATCGTATCTTGCTCCACAAGCAACTCAATCTCCAGAAACCAGACGATACGAGACGGAGACTCACTGATCAGCGAGGACGAAAGCTTCGAGGTTGGATTCTTTAGTCCGAAGAACTCAACCTTAAGGTATGTCGGGATATGGTACAAAAACATCGAACCTCAAACAGTTGTCTGGGTTGCGAATCGAGAGAAGCCATTGTTGGATCACAGTGGAGTTTTGAAGATTGCAGATGACGGGAATCTGGTAGTTGTGAATGGACAAAATGTAACCGTTTGGTCGACAAGTGTTAAGCCCGAGTCAAACAACACCGTGGCTGTTCTGTTGGGAACAGGGGATTTGGTTTTGTCTTCAGATTCGGACAGAAGAAGATGGTGTTGGGAGAGCTTTAACAATCCGACAGATACTTTCTTGCCAGGTATGATGGTTCGTGTGAATCCTTCACTGAGAGAGAATCGAAGTTTCATCCCGTGGAAATCCGAAAATGATCCTTCACCAGGAAGGTATTCAATGGGGATTGATCCTACTGGAGTGCCAGAGATTGTGATTTGGGAAGGGGAAAAGAGGAAATGGCGTAGCGGACCGTGGAACTCGGTTATCTTTACCGGTATACCGGATATGTACCGAGTCACAAACTATGCTAAGGGGTTTAAGCTCTCTTCTCCTGATCGAGATGGTACCATGTTTTTCACGTACAGTACAAACAGTTCCGATTTCTTGAGGTTTCGGTTTAGGTTTGATGGCGTACAAGAGCAGTTTAGATGGAATAAGGACGCCAAGAACTGGACTTTGCTTCAAAAGAAACCGAACACGGAATGCGAGAAGTATAACCGTTGTGGTAACTACAGTGTCTGTGATGATAGCAAAGAGTTTGGTTCGGGTAAATGCAGCTGCATTGATGGGTTTGAGCCGGTTTATCAGGATCAATGGAAAAATATGAATTTTTCTGGTGGCTGCAAGAGAAGAGTTCCATTGAACTGTAGTGAGAGTCTGGATGGGGACAAAATAGATGGGTTTAGGGTACTTCGTGGAGTGAAGTTGCCTGATTTTGGATTAGTTGTTTCACTTAACAATGAGAGTTGTAAAGATGAATGCATGAAGAAATGTTCTTGTAATGCTTATGCGGTTGTAGTAGGGATCGGATGCATGATTTGGACCCGTGATTTGATCGATATAGAGCGTTTTGAGTTCGGTGGACTCCCTATCAACATCCGACTGGCGGGTTCTGAACTAGGTATGTAAAAATGTTTAAGCTCTCAGGTAACATTTTGAAAGACTTTAAACATGACTAAGTTGAAAGACTTTTGTTGTTTATACAGGAGGTGGAAAGGAAAAATCGAAACTTTGGATAGTTATTGTTAGTGCTATATGTGCATTCTTGTTTGGATTATGCACTTGGATCTTATGGAGAAGCCTTAAAGGTAAAGCCTCTATTTTGCACATAGTCTTGTTTTAAAAGATGTAACTGCTGAACTGAGAATGTAAACTTCTTGATGATCTGCAGCTTTCTTGTTGAAGAAGAAAGATCTTCCTGTTTCTGATACCAGAGGGAACAGAGATAACTCGGCTAAGTTCTCAAGCTCACCAATCAATGATCTAGTAGGGGATCAAGTTGACACACCCGATTTAACAGTCTTCAGTTTCGACAGCGTAGCCTCAGCGACAGGAGGTTTCGCTGAAGAGAACAAGCTTGGACATGGCGGATTCGGTACTGTATATAAGGTAAATCAATAGAAAATGAATCTTTCCTGACTATAAAGTTTTGTTATGTATGCTAAACGAACTGATGCGTTATGTTTGGACAGGGAAACTTTTCAGATGGAAGAGAGATTGCGGTGAAGAGACTATCAGGGAAGTCAAAGCAAGGACTAGAGGAATTCAAGAACGAGATCTTACTAATCGCGAAACTCCAGCATCGGAATCTTGTTAGATTACAAGGATGCTGCATTGAAGACAACGAGAAGATGCTTCTCTATGAGTACATGCCAAATAAGAGTTTGGATCGCTTCCTATTTGGTATGTTTTCTTTTACTAAACAATTAAAGTTCCTAAACTTTTGTGGATTTGAGTATAGAATTCGATCTCTCTGCGCAGATGAGAGTAGACGAGAAATTTTGGACTGGAAGAAACGATGGGAGATTATTGGAGGAATTGCTAGAGGATTGCTTTACTTGCATAGAGACTCAAGACTAAAGATCATTCACCGTGACCTAAAAGCAAGCAATATCTTGCTAGACACGGAAATGAATCCAAAGATTTCTGATTTCGGTATGGCTAGGATCTTCAACTACCGACAAGACCAGGACAACACGATCAGAGTTGTCGGCACATAGTAAGTAAACAAACCTCTTTATTTTCTTTAACCAAACATAAAACTGTATTAGTTAGTTTCTAATATATTTTTATAATGTTGCAATATGTGAAGTGGTTATATGGCTCCGGAGTATGCAATGGAGGGGACATTCTCAGAGAAATCTGATGTGTATAGCTTTGGAGTGTTGATATTAGAGATTGTGAGTGGAAGAAAAAACGTTAGCTTTCGTGGATCTGAACATGGAAGTCTCATCGGTTATGTAAGTTTCTTTTCTTTAACCAGACATTTTCATGTTTAAGTCTCATTGGTTATAATTTTTGTTTTTGTTACGAATGTTTTAAACGGGCAAAACAATAATTTCAGGCGTGGTATTTATGGAGCCAAGGAAAGACAAAAGAGATGATAGATCCAACGGTTAAGGACAGTCGAGACGTAGAGGAAGCGATGAGATGCATCCACGTGGGGATGTTATGTACACAAGACTCAGTCATCCATAGACCAAACATGGGTTCAATGTTGTTGATGTTGGAGAGTCGAACGGGTCAACTTCCACGGCCGAGACAGCCTACCTTCCACTCGTTCATGCACTCCGGTGAGATTGAACTCAACTTGGATGGTCAAGATGTTGCCACTGTCAACGATGTCACTTTCACGACTATTGTTGGGAGATGAAACTCTTTGACCAAAAGTTATTGCTCTTCCCCCCCTCCCCACGCTCCTTTGACTATTCGTCTTTTTTGTTCTCCCATAGTTTTCAACTTTTGTACATAGTTAAAATCTTCGTTTTCTTGAAGATATCAGTATCATACTAATATACATAACTGGATTTGTATATTGAAGAGAAAATGAACAAATCGGATTTGTACACTTGTTTTGTTTTTGTTTGGGCATCAACATAGTGAAATGAGAAGGAACATGGTACAAAGAGTATACGTAGCTATTAATGAATGACGAGTTAGCCAAAACATTGAACTTTTATTAGGTTAGCGAGTATGCGTGCTCGAGAGAACAACACATTACTCGGTGAAACTGTGAGATAATCCAAAAAATTTAGATTCATGCTCATTTGAGTTCATTGATCAAATAGATGAAGAACCTAAAAAAATGATATAGCTATTGAAGAGTTTTATTGTGCAAGAAGAAAGTCCAAAAATAAAATATAAAGAGATTTCAATATGTCTCTAGTAACACAATGATTCAAAATTGATATTATATAAAAGCGATGTAGAGATATTTACCTTTCAATGATATTTTAAACATTAGTTTACATGAATCTTGACTAACCCTCTAGTTATATGGACTAATGGACTTCTCATAAGATATGATTTTAGTTTTTTTTTAATGGATTTTTTTACTAAAAATACGTTCGAACAATTTACTCTCCTAACTAACCGTTATTGTAAAGATTGTAATCGGTTGCTTTTTCAATAATGTTGTATCCGTATTGTAAATATCTATCTATTAAATTATGTATTTTATTGTAATTCCGACTTTTTAATTTTCCTTTATCATAGAAAATCTTTGACATAAAGCATGCGTAAATAAAACATTCCATTTTAATAATAAAAATTCATATTTATCCCAAAAATAATTAGTAGTTGAACATAGATTGATTATAGTTATTTATCAATGTTGTGTTCAATATTTATCATAACGTCGAATTAATATGATTCAATGAATATTATTAATTGATACTTGGAATCCTATTTGAAATAATCTAAATTACCAATTATTATTTTAGTGTAAATTATGTTCTCATCATTACAATGTAAATTACCTAAACAATTTGTTTCTTTAATTAATTAAACTATCTCATAGTCCAAAAAAACATAACAAAAAGTGGGAATAATTAGGAACCGTTAGATTAGATTCATATCGGACGGTAAAGCCTGAGGTAACAGATCCAACTTACATGAGAGCGAAACACTAGATAACCCAATTTCCCCAATTTCTCTAATCTGAAAAAAAAAAGACAAATCCTTTAGCAATCAATCTCTCTAGGGTTTGTTCCGATTTGGATCCTCTTCTCTGCAACCCAATTCAATCTTCCTCGCCAATATGCCGCAGAGACACTCGAAGAACAACAATGATCTTGCGTATTTCACTTACGACGAGAAGAAGAAGTTAGGGTATGGAACCCAGAGAGAGAGATTGGGGAGAGACTCGATTAAGCCCTTCGACGCTTGTTCTCTCTGCTTGAAGCCTTTCATCGATCCGATGTGTTGTCATAAGGGTCATGTCTTCTGCAAAGAGTGTATCCTCGAATGCTTCCTGGCTCAGAAGAAAGATATCCAAAGGTATAAACTTTGGAGTTTGATTTTAAAGTTTCAAACTTTGTAAAATTATGTTTTCAGTTTGGATTCTGATTGACCTTGATGGAAGTTTCTAGCTTTAGGATTTTAGATAGGATTGTTGAATTCCTCATGTATCTGGTGTCAATTGGGTCATTGAGGTATTTAGATTTAGTCATGGATTAGATCAAGTCTCGACTTGCTTACATTGGATTCGTTGGATTTTACTTTATTCATTGTTTGAAACGTCGTCTTAAGCATTACCCTGATAACAAGTTGTCCTTCAAAGATCTGGGTTTTAATGTTATGGTTTGTATTGTAAGAGTTTGACTTTTGAGTATACCTTGAGGAGTACTGGTTTTGTTACTACTAGTCCCATTTGAGAAGGAGAAGCTGATATTTTTAAGTTCTAGCACAAATGTAACGATAAAAACCTATGCAGTGATAACTAAGGTAATGTGAGAACTGATTTTGATGCTGTTGTTTTGGGGTTAAATGAGTACTGGTCTCAGGGTTAGTTAGCCTATGGTTGTATATGGTTGTTTGAGCTTGTATGTAAATTACCAATAGAGTAGAAACTGTTGGAGCAGATACTTCACTTGTTAGGCCTTTTGGGACTTTTAGGATCGCATATTCAAATATTGTTGTGTCTGATTTATTTTTGCTATGTATGTTAAGATACTGATCTGTAGTACCAACATTTCTGTAGGAGGCTTGCTGCACATTCGTCTCAAAAGAAGCAAGACAAGGACGAAGAAGAAGAGAGGCTAATGTTACAAAAGGCAAGAGAGCTTGACGAATTTGATCAGCAAAATCATAGTGCTATGCCTCGAAACAGTGACAAGAACCACAACCAAGACAAGACTGGTTTTCATGGGGCAAACAGTGTGAAGACAACTTCCTTTGAAGAAGAAGCGCTTAGGACGATGAAAGCCTTCTGGCTCCCATCAGCTACACCAGCAGCTTCAGTCAGAGTAGATGCTCCAGAAACTCACACTGTCTGTCCAGAGGGCAAAGAAAAGCTCAAGCTTAAGAACCTCTTTGCTATTCGCTTCACGGAAGACAACAGCGAAGAGGAAGAGAACAGGACAAAATCTGCATCCTCAAGCTCTTATGACAAAACCTACATTTGCCCGAGCTGCAAAGTCACTCTCACCAACACAATGTCTCTTGTGGCACTCAGTTCATGCGGACATGTTTTCTGCAAAAAGTGTGGTGAAAAGTTCATGCCTGTTGACAAAGTATGTCTTGTGTGTGACAAACCTTGCAAGGACAGGAACTTGGTTGGGTTAAAGAAAGGAGGCACTGGTTTTGCAGAGCACGATGATCATCTCGAGGCTAAGGAGTACAAGCATTTGGGTAGTGGCTCTGGTTTAGGGCTTGTGAGGCCGGTCAAGACATGATGAATCCACATAAAATGCTGAGTTGCAATTACAGAAAATATCCTTGAGATTTTGTTGTATACATTACACTCCTTATGGCATGTATCCTTTGCTTCAACTAAGAGACATTGCTTTCTCTGTTTTGGCTCTTGCTTTTGCCCTTAAGATTGGAATTAGTTTGTGTTTCTTCCTTACGCAAATCAAATGGAAGGGTTAAGTGCTTTTATCTGAGCTGTCATTTCAAATATTATTCTTCATGCTCTCTGTTTGTGCTAAGTCAGGAGCGTTAGCAGAGAGTGATATTGCTGTCGAGTGTTTTAAATGTGTTCGTGGTCTTCCATGATCAGTAAAACCTTTATAAATTAAACAATAAAAAAAAAAAAATTAAACAATTAATACACTATAAATTAATTTTTAATGGAATAATATTTGGGTTTACCCCTATTGATTAGCTAATCAAAATAAAACAATATGCCAAGTCATATTACATTTAAAAATAAATAAAAAAGAAAACAAATTTTAACCATTCTTTTACAAACCCAAACCAAAATACAATTTTGTTTATTCACAAAATCTAAACTCTAACCACAATTTTATCAACCCAAACCGAAATATAATTTCATCTAATTACAAAATCTAAACCCTAAACACTATTTTTTCAATACAAACCGAAATATATTTTCGTTTAATTACAAAATCTAAACCCTCACCACTATTTTGTCAATCCAAACCAAAATATAATTTCGTTTAATTACAAAATTTAAACCCTATTCACTAATTTGTTTCCCTAATCAACCCAAACCGAAATATATTTTCTTAATAAAAATTATACAGAATTTGTTTCCTTAATTTGCTTTATTTTTTATTTTAATTTTGATTTACTTTTTTAAAATAAAAATGACGTGGCATATTATTGTATTTTGATTGACTAATTAAAAAGGGTTGAACAAGAGTGGTTAAACCTAGGGTGAACAAGAGTGGTTCAACCTAGGGGTGAACCCAAATATATATTTTTTATAATGTACACTATAAATAAATAAAATTTGCTGGTCCTAAATCGGACCAGTGTAAAAGTTAACAAAACTTGATAAGATAATAAGATAATAATTTTTTTTAAATCTCCATGTAAACTATAGTCCCAATAATATTATAAATTAATATTAATGTATGGTTTTATTTTTTTGTAAAAATAATATTTCTCCTAGATCTTATCTCTATAAAACTTTTATGTTATATTTTAAACTATAATCTTGCAATATACTCCACATTCCACAACAAATCATAAAAATAACCAAAAGTTACTATATGTTTTCAATTTTGAATATGCATCATATTTGTTTTTTAATTTTATAAGATGTTAAATATATAACAATTGAGGTTACTAATTATAAATTTAAATTTATGTATATCATTTATGTAAGTGAATTTATCATTTATATTTGGGACAATTTTAAAAATACTCCTTTAGGAGATCACCTTTTTAAAAATACCACAGTGGAAAGAACATTTTTAAAAATGCTTCCGTTTTAGTGTAAAAAGACAATTGTACCCTTAATGATTTAACCTAATTTATATATATGCTCTCTACCTTATCAGCAAAATCTTCTGTCTCTATCGCTCGCTTCTCTCTGATGTCTTCTTCGTCGATATCTTCTCTCTCAAACTCTTCTTCTTCGATCTCTTCGATCTGGATCTCTTCTTTTTGATCACTTCTAATACATTGTCAAAAAAGTTTCCTATATCTAAAATTCAATTTCAAATATAAAAGTTATAATATTTAAGAGATTAATCTTCTTTTTGTAAATTTGTCCCAATTTAAATTTTCAAAATTTTAACAATTAAAAATATCAATTTAAATATATAATTATTAACTTGGACTATAAAATAATAAATATTAATTTTTATATAAATGAATATAACTATAAATTAATAAAATACCTTAGTCACAACATTATCAATTTATAGAGGTTTTACTGTTATTTTTCCTAAGTATTGGTAGAGATGAGGTGAAATTCAAGGGGATATAAAATTACAAAGATACAAATATATACTCCATGAGCTGTCCAAAATCAAAATGTTGGCCCATAAATTATATCAGATTCTAGATTTAGTAAATGTATTAGCACTTGTTTTGATTTTATTGTATTAGCAAATGTTTAGTAAATTATATGCACGTATGACGCATCTAAAAAATCCCAAGATGGTTTTATATCTCTCATTACATATTCTTCGAGTTTTCACATCATCATCATCATTATCATCATCATTTGAGATATTTTCTCTTGCCGTGTTCTTTTGATTTTACTTGATTTTACTTTTTTTTTTGGTAACCAAAAGAAATTTAAAAACACAGACATTGAAGCTGAGAACATCCCAAAGAATGTCGAGGTTTAGTAAATTTTCATAGCTTACTATTCTTCAAAGTATATCTCAAAATTGATTTGGACTCTAGTGGATGTTCATATGGAGCAATGTTGGTAAGTTGTATCCTAGGAGTAGGACAACTTGTGGCATGGAACACAATTCTGAAAAAGCAAGAGCCACACAGATTAAATTAGATCAGAACAGTATTTTCAAAAACTCTTCTTTGATATATATAAATCTGTTTACAATGAGTTTTTCCCTAAACAATTTTCTAATCTCTCAAAAACTTCTTTCTAAGATCACACTTGATCGTAGAAACTCTCGAAGAAACTCTATGCACTCGATAATAAGATAATATTATTTTTTGTGAAATCCCTATAATAATTTTTTTTTAAAACAAAATTTCTCCTAAATCTCATCTCTATATTTTATTTGATGTTATATTTTAAAATATAATCTTGCAATATACTCCACAACAAGTCATAAAAATAACTAAATTTGTTTTTTATGTTTTCAGTTTTTAATATGCATCATATTTGTTTTTGTTTTTATAAGATGCTAAAATATAACAATTGAAGTTAATAATCATAAATTTAAATTTCTGTATATCATTTGTATAAGTGAATTTATCAATAATCTTTCTAATACACTGTCACAAAAACTTTCCTAAATACAAAATTTAATTTCAAACTATTAAAATTATAATATTTATGAGACTAATCTTATTTTTGTAAATTTTTCCCAATTTAAATTTTCCAAAAAGTTTAACAATTAAAAATATCACTATAAAATAATTATTATTAATTTACACTATAAAATAATAATAATTAATCTATAGATAAATTAATATCACTATATAAATAAATAAAATACCTTAGTCCCAGCATTATTAATTTATAGAGGTTTTATATTTATTCTAAGTTTTGTAGAGATGAGGTCAAATTCAAGGGGATATAAGATTGCAAAGATACAAATACATATTCCATGAGCTGTCCAAAATGTTGGCCCATAAATTATATCAAACTCTAGATTTAGTAAAGGTATTAGTACTTGTTTTGATTTCTCTTGTACGTGGCTGGGACGTTTAATAAAACATAGGATCACTAGTTGTATGGTATTTTAATATTAGTGAAAGAAATGTGGAAAACATGTAAATATTGTAATTTATAAAACATTTATATGCACGTATGAATTGAAGCATCTAAAAAAAATCCCAAATTGAGGTCTAAAAAAAAAAAAAATCCTAAATTGGTTTTAGGATATCATTACATATTGTTCGAGTTCTCACATTTGTTGTTTTCCTTTCAAATTTTTTTTTTGTACCCAAAAGAAAGTAAAAAACATGGACATTGAAGCTGAGAACATCCGAAAGAATGTCGAGGTTTGATAAATTTTCACATTTCATACCTTACTATATATTTTCCAAAGTATATTTGAAAACTGATTTGGACTCTAATGGATGCTAATATGACTAGGCTAAGTTTGGAGCAATGGTGGTATGTTGTATCCTAGGAGTAGGACAACTTGTGGCATGGAACACAATCCTCACCATTTCTGATTATTACTACCAAGTCTTCCCTGTAAGTATGTCTATCTTCCTTATGATGTTCTACATTTGCCGTTGTATTGTGTTTTAACATTTTCTTTTTATGTTCTTTTATTTTCCGTCGTGTGATTTAATGGATTAATAGGAGTATCATCCTTCGAGAGTTCTTACTTTGGTTTACCAACCATTTGTCCTTGGAACTATATGCATCATAGTTTTCATGGGAAAAACAAACAAAAACCAAATTCGGATTATGATCGGTTATACGATTTTCTTTTTCGGCACTCTTCTTTTAATTATTGTGAGTATTTTTTCTCTATGTGTACAAGTCATTCGTTAAACCTCCTGATATAATTTTTATACAACCACATTATTGTCTATTTATGTATAGTTTTAATCATGTAGTTGGATTTGGTAACCAAAGGAGCAGGGGGTTTTTCCGCGTACATGGTTTTATGTTCGATTGTTGCATGTTTTGGAATAGCTAATGCTCATGTTGAAGGTGCCATGGTCGGAGAGCTATCTTTCATGTGCCCCGAATTTATTCAGGTTTTTATTCTTCTAAATTTGATAAAGCCACAAAAGTTCATTATTTGTAAGATTTATAAATGTTTGCTTTAGTCATTCGTCGTGGGTTTAGGCATTGCCGGGGCAATAACATCTGCATTGAGGCTTCTTACCAAAGCGTTATTCGATAAATCTCCCAACGGTCTTCGAAAAGGCGCTTGTATGTTACTCTATCTACTTGAACTTTTTTCTCTGTCAATGCCATGTATGTGTTCACATACAAACTTTTTAATGGTTCTATATCAACTAATTTCAAATCATGATTTGCAGTGCTATTCTTGGTATTTTCGACATTGATCGAGTTCATTTGCATTGTTCTCTACTTATACATTTTTCCAAAACTACCAGTAGTTAAGTATTACTATGCAAAGGCCGAATCAATTCATCGAGAAACAGAAGAGAAAAAAACCAGTCGGTTAAGTAACAAAGAGTTGCTCTATCAAAACAAGGACCTTGCAGTCAATCTTTTCCTCATCTATGCCTTGACATTGTCGATATTTCCTGGATTTTTGTATGAAAACACCGGAAAACATAAGCTCGGTTCATGGTATAATATAGTCTTGACAAATCTTTTTTCTTCTATCATAATATTGGTTTATATATAATGTATATATCCATGCTTGACTTCATTATTTCGTTACGTTCTCTCTATTTCCTAACATATAGGTACGCTCTTGTACTTGTTGCTTCATATAATGGGTGGGATGCTTTCTCAAGATATATTCCTCTTATCGAACACCTAAAACTCAAATCAGCGAAATGGATCACCGCGTGCGTGCTTATGCGGTTCTTGTTTGTCCCGGCTTTTTACTTCACCGCGAAAAATGCTGATCAAGGTTGGATGATCTCATTAACATCCTTTTTAGGATTAACTAACGGCTATCTAACAGCATGCGTTATGGCTTTCACACCTAAAAGTAACTACAATGTAAGTTATCGTTTGATCAAGATGTGACTATTCATGTCTTTAGTTTTAAAGATTCTACTTCGCACAAGTGCATGAGTCTTGTAATATTGATTTATGATCATACTCCTCTACTAAATTATATTGCAATCCATTTTATTAAGGTGAATTCAGTTACTTAGCTGATATATTGACATTTTATTTTATACTATTCACAGGCTTTGGAGACGAATGCATTGGGGAATTTGCTGGTAGCTTTTATGTTAGGAGGGGTATTTGCAGGTGTTTGCCTCGGTTGGCTTTGGCTAATAGGCACCAATAGTTCCTTTTAGTGAGATTCAATATTTTAATTTAAGCCATCACAAGGATCATATTTTTCTATGTAGTAAACAAAATTTATGAATCAATTCGATCTAACTTCAGTATAATGAGAATATTCATGTAAAATTGTGGTTTTATTGCTTTAGGTTATTTTCTTTAATTCTTTAGGGTAGGTCAATATGATCATGCGGTGATTTCGTTACTGTCGTTGATGATTCTCTTCAACTTTAGGTTTGGATTTTCTTGTTTAGGCCAATAATTTTTATATTAATTAATTGGTTTAGTTTCATTTCTAAAATTAGAGTATATTCTTCAAATAAATCTTAATTATAAAATAAATAAAAATAAAAAACACTCCTTTTTAATTCTCGTTAATCTTCCCATTTATTAAATGCATGTTTATTATCCAATCAATTTTTGTTAGAAGATTTGTTTTAAATTCCTATAAATCTAGAGAATCCAGTTTTATGTGTTACATATTCCTTTTTGTTTTTACAAAGTAGAGTCCAAATACTATTTTAACGATGATTTTCTTTTATGATCTCAAAAGTTCAATAATAAAATAAAATATTTTCTATATATTAATAGACACATTACTTTTGATTATCTACATACCCAAAAAAAAAAAAAAGCCAGAATCAAAGAAAACTTCAGAGAGAAAAAAGATTGAACAGATCAACGATGATGAATCTTCTTCGTTCGATCTAAGTTTGCTCAAAGAAGCTATCAACAACGCAAGTGAGAAGAACCATATTCTTGAGGAAACCATTACTGTCCCGACAAAGAAGAAAGATACGTTCGATCTAAAATCATTGTCACATGCATTACCTTGTGTGAAACGTAAGTGTGATAGAAAGAGACTACGTTCTATGAGGAGGAAACGTCTCATATCAATGGCGGCAAAGACTAAGCAGTGTCTCAGAACACAGGCGGAGATGGAAGCTATGAAGCAACAACACTTGCTAAGGTTTCGTATGTTAAAAGAAGAATTTTTATCTAAAATAAGCACATTTGGGTTTTATTTAGGTTAAGTTCTTTTGTATTTTTTTGCTTTTGTATTTTTTCATGGTTAAGGCGGCGATTATGCTGACTATTTTTCTTTATTTATTGGGTTTAGGGTTTTATTTTATTTTATTTATCCTGCTTAAGTTATTTTCTTCTTGTTGTTGATTTGTCTTTTTAAAATTCTAGGATTAATGTATATACATCTTGATTAAAAACAATATAGTTGATGGATTGTCATTGTTTAGATTCGTGATTTTCTTTGTTTAGGATAAATTCTTAACTAACTGATCTTGTTTAATTTCTAGATTATAAAATTATATATGAGATAATATTTGCTTAAATTATAGATAATTTTGCCAATTAACTAAAATGCAATTAAAAGAAGAAGATTTATATGGACTAGAGCTAAATTACGATTATAAAATGAAATATGAAAAATAATTTGGTTAGATACTAGATAGTTTTCTCATTAATCAAATCTAATCAGTAAAGACGATTTGATGCTCGTTTATCTCCCAACAATGTTTTTGAAGATTTCAACAACTAAAAGAAAATTTTAATTTTGATTATCTCTACCAATTTTCTTAAGTAATAATGTTATCGGGCCAGTTTGGATCTAATACGGCCCAAAAAGGATTGCATCTTTTATAAAAGGACGCTTCACGTCTCTCTAACCTATTTGTGTGTTACTTTGTAATCACTCTCTCGACGAAACGATGAAGCCAGAATCAAAGAAAAGCTCCGAGAAAAGACAACTTGAGATCAACGATGATGGAAGTTCTACTTTTGATATGAGTTCACTCAAAGAGGCTACCAACAACAACAACAACAACAACAACAACAACAACAACAACAACAACAACGAAAGTGACAAGACTCTTCTTGTCTCAACCAAGAAGACAAACAACTCATGTGATCTGACTTCGATGTCACACGCATTACCCTCTTTGAACAATCCGTGTAATAAGCGGAAGCTTTTTAGCAGTAAACTTTTAGCGTTGAAGTTCGAACATGTCAAAAAATTAGTGGAGAAGGAAGCTATGAAGCAGCGATCAAAAACACTACTCACCATATGTGACAAACATTCATGTAAAAGTTGATTTAGGTTTGATCTGTTTTTATTGTTTAGTTGTTACTTTGTTCTCATTAATTACGATAATTGTTTTAGGGTTTGGGGTTTGTGTTAATTTTTTTTTCGGTAGGATTGTATTAAATTTGTATATGATCCGTTTTAATTTCTAGAGTTAATCAACTATTCACGAAAAGTAATAACTTAAAATGTGGATAAAACAAAAACCTCTAGAGTTGTTGAATGGAAAATGTTTCAGTATAATTAAAATATGGGATTATAATATTACAAATTTTATATTTAGAAATAATCTTCTAGAATTAAATTAAAGATATATATTCCTTCCTTTATCAGATATATTTTTTAATATATTTTAGCAGAGATTTTCTCAATTACATATATTTTGCTTCTCTTGTTTTTGTCAACGAATCCTATTCGGATAACTACTGTTACGATTCACGAATCAGATAAATCCACTGATTTCGCAAATCAAGGAATCTTTTTTTTTTTTATAATAATTATCATATAAATTCTCGCATTGTCTTTAGGTTTTGGGGTTTAAACACACTTCTGCTTACATCGTTTTGCTGCCAACTTTGACTAAGCATCTCTCAGAAGGTGAGTGTTCTTTCTTTCTTTCTGATTCATGAATATTATTCATCTTAAATCAACAATTCACCTTCAATGTTATATACTCGAAAACTGGTCAAGAAATAAGCCTTTTTCAAAAAAAAAAAAAACAAGAAATCGATTCAAAAAGTTATACATAGGTAATAAACCCTAAGAGGATGTTGAATTGTTCTTTGTATCAAGAATTGCTAATTACCGAATGTAAATTTTATATATGAAGTGTTGTTTTAAAGATTCTGAAAATTTACAGGATCTGTGATTGCCCGATGAGTAATCCTGAGGATGTACCAAGCAGGCTCGAGGTCAGTGTACAGTTTCATATTAACTCATCGATCATTCATATATTAATCTATTAGTTACATATTAATTATCATGTACTAGTGTATATGCAACTCTTTTGAAATTTAAATTGATGATGATGATGATGATGAACAGGGAAAGAATGTAGCACGAGTTGTGTGTTGTTTCCTTGGAGTAGGGAGTCTTGTGGCATGGAATGCAATGCTGACCATCACTGATTACTATTATCAAGTTTTCCCGGTATGAATCTAAGCAATTCTTTCGGTATTAAGACAAATCGATTTAGTCCATGTATATGATCATGCTTTAATTCTATTATGTTATGTTTTGTTTTGTGTTTTCTTGGTTTATTGACAACAGAAGTACCATCCTTCGAGGGTACTAACAATAGTTTACCAATTGTTTGCGAATGTGTTTATCATAACACTTGCTTATAAAGAATCTAAGCTCAATACTCGACTTCGTAACATTCTCGGGTACAGCATTTACGCCGCTAGCACCTTTTGTCTCATCATTGTAAGTACTCTCAGTTGTTGTATATTTGATTCTTTCTTTTGTTATTATAACAATATGAAGAAGTGATGTTGATTTGATTCGGTTTGGTGAAGCTGGATCTTGCTTCGCATGGTAGTGGAAGCGTATTAGCATATGTGGTGTTGTGTTTGATCGTTGCTCTTTTCGGGCTCGCTGATGCTTTTGTACAAGGTGCAATGGTTGGAGATTTATCCTTCATGAGCCCCGACTTCATCCAGGTTTGAACCTTTTTTTTTTCTTGCTTTATTTTTTTGCAATGGTTATAGTCTTATAGACGTTATACCTTAATGTTGTTAAAATGTATGATTATTCATAAGGCGTTCATGGGGGGTTTAGGCATAGCTGGAGCTCTAACCTCAGGATTAAGGCTTATTACAAAAGCAATATTCGACAAGTCGCATGATGGTCTTCGAAAAGGCGCTTGTAATGTCTCTGCTACATATATTTTGTTAAATATTATACAAATTAACAAAACTAATTTTAATCATCATTCATATGTGCTTCTTTTGTTTTTTTGTCTCTCTAGTGTTGTTCATAGGAATAGCAACATTGATAGAGTTAGCATGTGTCTTTCTATACACATTAGTCTTCGCTAAGCTCCCTATCGTGAAATACTACCGTGCCAAGGCTGGAAAAGAAGGGGCCAAAACCGTTTATGCGGATTTGGTCGCAGCTGGCCTCCAAGAGCAAGCTGAACAGGTATTTTTCGGTTTTATTTTGATCAAAACTGTGTTTCTTTTATTCAGCTAATGAAGCTCTCTTTTAAATTTTGGCCATTATAAAAGATTCAACATATGGACGAGTCCAAGATCCAAAAACTAACCAAGAAGCAGTTACTACGAGAAAACATAGATCTTGGAATCAATCTATTCTTGGTTTACATTGTGACGTTATCGATTTTCCCGGGATTTCTCTACGAGAACACAGGAGAACATCGATTAGGCGATTGGTATGCATCATTAACATAAACAATCCATTCCTCACTGATAGTATGTTCACATTAAAAAAAAAAACTATATATATGTTTTGATGTGTTGAAAGGTACACACCAGTTCTAGTAGCCATGTTCAACGTGTTGGATGCGATATCGAGGTTCATTCCCTCGATCAAACGGTTAGCAATGGAGTCGAGGAAATGGATCACGGTCTGCGTTGTGGCACGTTTCTTGCTCGTCCCGGCCTTTTACTTTACCGCTAAATACGCTGATCAAGGATGGATGCTTTTCCTCACCTCTTTCTTGGGGTTGACTAACGGCTATTTAACCGTTTGCATCTTCAGCACTGCCCCAAAGGGTTACAATGTAAGTCACTTCTTACAATAGTCTATCTCGGTTTTGATACCGGGCTATGTTAACTTGGTTCAATCAAATGTGTGTGTATAGGGTCCTGAAGCAAATGCATTAGGAAATATCATGTGCGTGTTTCTATTGGGAGGGATCTTCGCTGGAGTTTGTTTAGGTTGGCTTTGGCTCATTGGCAACGATTCGTTTTAGATACAAAATAACTTAGCTGATTGCAGTATTTGTTGAATATTATTTTTACTTTTTGCTGTGCCAAGTGCACAATTATTTAATTCAACTCATTGATTTTAATGTGTTTTTTGAGAGATTAATTACTAACGCTTTTGTTTAAAATTTTATTTCAAATGTAACTATAGTGGGATTGATTATTTACAAAAGTTCAGGTGGATTCATTTCAACTATAACTTTTTTTATGAACCAAAATAAGATTGTATGTAATATTGAAGATACAATTGCATGTTTTGTTTTTAAAATGTCGAGGAAAATTTATTGTTCGAATAATTTTTGAAATTGGAGATTATTAACCGATATATACAGCAAAAATTACAAATTCTCTGTTTTCAGAATGATGAAGAACATCAATAAAGAAAATAAGCAAAAGAGAAAAAGAAGATAAACAAAAATGAACTCTTTACTTTCGTTTTCCTCTAAAATATATGTTTCTGTTCTCCAAATCCTAAGACAAGAAAACAAAATGTGGCTCTCAATGTTAAATGAGGGGTAAAAAAGAATAAAGATTGAACCTTTTCAATCTAGGGAGCCATCAGTCCATCGATCGTGTAAGAAAGTGACTTCATCCAATCCGTTTTCAGCAGCATTGTTTGTAGGGTGTGCATCACATCGTATCCCGGATCAAGTTTTCGTTGCCAACCCTGTGAAAACGCAGAAGATTTAAGCGCAAACCTCGATGTTGTTAAGATTTTGAAGCAAACTTGAAACATCAAGAGACTGTGAAGCAGTGATTAAATCAGATATCTAGCTTAAGTTCACAGATTGATATAGTCCTTAAGGCGACTGCTTTTGTATTCGATCGAGTTCTTGGTGGTTTAACGGAATGGTAAGAGATTTAAACTCACCTCGAGAACTAATGTTGTAAACATCACTGTGGACACATTGCCGTCGATATTAACTCTATGACGTCTCATTTTCTCGAATAGTTCGTGCATACAATCAGCTGGATGTACTAAATCTCCTTCCTCTGTTCCCCAGAATGTAAATGCTTCTTCTACTTCCTGTCAAAATATGTATGTATAAACACCAAGAAAAATAAAGAAACATTAAAGGATGTAAGAAAAAGCACAGAAACGTCACCTTGATAAAGGCCTGTGGATTAGGACAATTCTGTTGTTTAGATAATTTAAGGGTTTGTTCTGCAGCAGTCCGGCCATCTCTGCGTGCAACTGCCTTGAAAAATCCTAGTAGGTTATCTCGGTCAATTTTTGAGAGTTCTGCAGTCATTCCCACATCTAGAAAAATGATGTGTGGCTTCCTCGATCTGAAAAGCCCTCTTCGAGTATTGTTTGGCCGGACAAGAATATTTCCTGGATGCATATCAGCGTGAATGAAGTTGTCGACCTGAAAAACAAGAATCCAAGAAACTTTAAGTTGTAAGTTGCCGAAATGAATAAAAAGAAACAAGTGAAGAAAGAGGAAGAACCAGGAGCATCTTCAAGAGAGCATGAGTTCCGATATGAGCTACTTTTGCCTTAAGCCTTTCATGTCCTTCTGAGCCATCGACATAACGAGCCACACTCTCCCCGTGCTCATATGTCTCAACCAAAACAGCGGGATGTATAAGTGGATAGATGGGCTTGGGAAAAGAGACATCTTTCCATCCACGGAAGTTATATATAAACCGACTCAAATGAGAAGCTTCCCTTGAGAGATCAACTTGGGACAACATGTAGACACTAAACTGTTGCACACACTCGTCCAATCTAAGCCAATTCAACCCCGGAATAAAAGTAGTTAGCTTTGCCACAAAATTAATTATCACAAAATCTCGCTTCATTGTTTGCTCAACACTAGGATGTCTAACTTTAACAGCAACTTCCGAGGATTTCACCTTTTGTCCTGGATACTGAATTTTCAAGGAAGCTCGGTGTACTTGAGCTATACTCCCAGATGCCACAGGCGCCTCATCAAATTCCTCAAATATCTCAGAGAGTTTACGGCCAAATGCACTTTCGATTGACTTTTTGGTGAACGCGAAACTGTGCTCAGGAGCATTACTGTGAAGCTTTGAAAGCTGCAAACACAAATCCTTGTTAAACCGATCAGGTCGTGTGGCAATCCATTGGCCAAATTTGATAAAAGCAGGACCTGCTCTTTCCAGAGTTCGATGGAGGATCTCATACTGTAGCTTTCTATAACGAGGCCCGCACGCATATTCTAACAACGCCATTACGACATTTGGAGAAAACAAAATTGCTAAATAGAGAGCTCTTCCTATCAGAACAACACCTTTGACCGCAGAAATCAATAAAGACGAGATAACGATGGGGAAGTTTAACGAACTCCTACAAGGAGAAATGCTTGAAGGAGAATAGACCACAGGACTAGGAGTCACCCTTTGCGCATATGCCACTTGTCTATAACCAAGAGCCAAGAAACCGGGTAACAACAAGTGCGAACGGGCTAAAGACAAGCTGAACGCTTGAGCAATCTGAGTTATCCGAGTTAAGTTCCAATTACGATTCAAAGTTACTCTATAAAGAAGCCTTTCCCAAGAGGCTTGAGCATGTTGCTTAACTACATTGCTTGCAGATGCAACCGAATAGCTCCTCCGGGCAAGATTCTGATTACCTAAAAACCTTCCTTTAACATTACGAAGAAGACCCAATGTGTGATGTTCATTACTCTGAATTCTGAACTGTGGCAACCTTACAGAAACCCTAATAGCTGTTCTACTATTCTGTTTCGACAATAGAGTTCTGCTAACCAATTTAGAGATCAAAAACCTGCAGCCAAAACCAAAACCACCCAAAGAAGGATCTAATCAAAACGACGACTTTGGAGAAAAGATCACGACTTTATGAACAAAGACTCGATTTTTAAAACCTACGAATCAATCTAAGCAATCTCCGGTTAAGAGGGTAGTCAAAACTAATCGGAGTAGGAACCATGAATATGAGAATCGAGACGAACCTTGTTATAAAGGTCATGGCGAGAGTAAACACGCGGAAGTTTGGTTTTTTCGTATGATTTTCAAACCGTTGAACTTAGGGAGCATTATATCATCGATTATTGAGTTGGTGTGGATTTTAATTAGGGCAGAGCAAGTTCTTCTTCGCTCGCCGGAAAAAGAAGGTTCTGGGTTTTAGGAGCTGAAGAAGAAAAGATACGGCGAGAGAGAGACAAGTCAGTGATTTGGGGCGGAGAGTAGTGGGGCCTGCATAGAAAACCTCGTGGGCTTCACGCAAAAATTTTATTTATTTATCGGCCTTTTATTTAAATTTAGTTTTCAAAAATTATTATTATTATTTTATTTTATTTTTTAACTTCTCATTTATTTTCTATAAAAACTGAAGAAACTTGTTCCCCGAATCAATTGACACTGAAAGTAATAAATATTTTCCTAATAGGATTTTATTGAATTTGAAAGAATTTAGAAGCATAATTTTATGAGCGCTTTTTGATTGCCGGATTTTGAGATCTTTGTTATTTTTTTTTTTTTTAGAGATTGGCTTTATTTATCATACGAAGTGGTAGATGTTATTTCTGATTTAGCTGTGGGCATGCATGATAAATCGCATTCGCAGGTGTTTCAGAAGGAGAGATTGTTTTGTTCTTTTAGTTCTTTCTTGTCTTTTAAGGGGTTTTGCCTAGTAAGCTCTGCTTATTAAGGAGTTGTCCTCTTTCGTTTATGTTTGACATTATTTGCTTTGTATTTTTAGTTTAGTTCATTTGGTCTCTCTTTGTTAGAGCGTAGATTGCAAGAATTTTATTTGTTCCTCCGACAATATTTTCGGAGACTTTAAGTTGTGTGTTGGCTTAAGTGTCCTTTGTTTGGACGTTAGCAATTCTATTCTGGTTCCAAAACAAATTTGTAATAAAAATTCAAATTTACCAAAAAAAAAAAAAAAAAAATTCAAGTTGACCAAAAAAATATTTGTAAAAAAATTAGATCCTCAAAATAGTTTTTTACTTTATTTAACAAATTAGTCCTTTTACTGTCACATTTAGCACACATTAGTCCCTTACTTTCTTATTTAGACAATAGTCCCATTTTTAGCACATTTTTAAAAGGTAAGATTCTCAAAATACTTAGTTGTTCAAGAAAAATATTCTCAAAATACTTTTGTCCTTTACCTTTGTAATGAAATAAAACAAAACTTTTAATATAATAAATCCAAGTCAAAGCAATGCAACGAATAAAAGATTAACAAGAGAGAAGTCACACACAACAAATGTTTTGGTAAAGGAAAATAAGAAGAAAAAGAAAATAGAATAGTCTTCGAGTACTCCAATCTGAAAGCTCATTTGTTTCAAGAAGCTGATGAATCTATCTTTCTCTCGAGACATTCAGGATAACTGAAAGGGTACTCTATGACAGGCTTATCATCACACAGCCTTTGACTCGCCATCCCATACGCATATCCTAAGGCAACCCCGACCGGAACGGCTACAGCATTCCCAACCTGAATGTACCTGTAATGTAACAAACATCAATCAAAGTTCATTGTCAAAATCACTAAAACACACAGCTCAAGAATGCAACATGAAACGAAGACTCTTAAGGACTTACTTTTGCTTATCAGGGCCATGTAGCCTATAGCAATCAGGAAATCCTTGTATTCTTGCATTTTCGCGGACCGAGAGGACTCGGTCTTGGATCGGGTGAAGTATACGCTGTATAAAACACGTTTCAAAACACCGAGAAACTCAGTACCAAGAATATAGATATTAAAATGTGCATATAGAAAGAAAGTCCAACAAAACCTGGTTGTGAGGTTCTGCTCTTGTCACGACCGTGTTAACAATCTCATCCCACCACAAACGACCAAATGGCCTGCGTTTTCATATGATATATATATATAGATGATCAGATTTAACGAGTATAAAGGTCATTTTAAAGTGAGTTAAGGTAACATATCGTTAGCAGAACATTACTTTTTAGATTTTCCATCTCTATACTTGATGGCATATATAGGTACCTGGGGCAAACGACATAACTTGTCATCATGACAAAAACCAAATAGATCATAAGTTTGGGGAGATGGATTTGTATTGTGTACCAGAGGCTTTCCAGAGTCCAACATTATTTTCTCATCAGAAGGGTCACGTACTCATCAAAATTTATTCCCAACAAGTCTGTGTAGTGGGCACCCTGTGACCAATAAGAATTGTACAAATGATATCACAACTCATGACCCAGTTCGTTCGTTATCAACATCCTCTGTTCGTTGCACGTTTAGTTAGGTTATCTCGTGAGCGGACAGTTTAGTTACCGTTGTGATAACAGTAACAAAATCTCTCATTGATTTCCTTAAAACTCAAATTTTAATATGACCGTTGTGATTCATATTTCCTTTTCTTTTAAAACCTCTTAATTAATTAATTTGCTTTTATATTAAAATTCTCTCTCTCTCTCAACTTAACGCTTTTTCCCTGATGGAGAAATCAAAATTCTCTTTTTCTCACTTCTTCTTCTTCCTTCTTCTTCTAAACCCTTAAACCAAAAATAAACCAATCTCTTTAGTTCGTTCTCTTATCGAAGCACAAAGTCGATCCCTCTTCTCCTTCGATTCTCTGATTTATCGTCGCTGAAAAAGGTTCTATCTTCAGCTTTCTTCTCCTCGATTTGTTGTTGCGAGATTCGGCTTCGATGATCGAGAGATACAAAACAGGGCGATCAAACGGTGATGAGTTTGGGTAAACGGTGGTGATCGAGGCTTTTGACTCCTCTTCTTCTGGTTCCTCGTGGCGGTGCTCTTGCTTCTTCTTCTTCTTCTTCCCTTCAAGGTACCGCTCTATCTCTTCTTGTTACTCAGACTTGGAATTTTCCTTATGGTCTTGGTTCTTGTTGATCTCTCTGGTGTCTTAGGGCGTTAGTTAACCTTTTTATCCAATTTTAGGGGTTTATTAATTGGATTAAACATATCGATTCTTCCAAGAACGCCATTGGACTAAAGCTTACAATGTTATCCTCATTTCCTCTTTGTTAACTCACTCTGTAAGCTTTAGATTACACTGTGTCTTTATGTGACTTCTTTTTGATGCAGTTTCAGTTCCTGAAATCAGAGCAACGGATCATTCAAGGTAGAGAGCCTATGTGTAACTCCAACTATGTCTGTCAAGAAAAGGGTGATTCCTCTAAGTTACGTTTTGGCCAACTCAAGGAACTGTTCTGAAGCGGGTAGACTTTGCTACAGTATCTTGGTGGGGAGGTTGAAACTTACCAATGTATTCGATTCTGGAGAATGCTCCATTTTATAATATGGGATATGCTCATTCAATAGGTATGAACTTTGTGTTAATTGGGTTTTCAAGGAAAGATCTCCATTTTGTGAAAACTGCAGGCATATGCTCAATTTGTGGACCTATTAGCTTGAACTTTCTACAAACCAAAGACTTCTTCTGTGGAGTTTGGAGCTAATGAGGTGATTCTCATTACCAATAGTTTTAACCATTCCTTAAAAAGCTTAATTCATGCTTTTGATTTGGGACATGTTAGCTTGAATTTTGTTTGGTGTTTTTTATCAGGCTGGTTTAGTTTTCTCGGAATGACTATGTTCCTGATGGTATAACGAAAGTGAGACTGCCCAGATTTTATAAATACCCCATGCTCATATTCATCAAGCTGAAAAATGCATGGTCTCGAGGTAATCAAACTTATCTGTCTCAATGTCCTTGTCCCTTTGAATGAAATAAATCGTCTATTGTTGTTCTCTTGGTTTTTGATTTTGGTTATATTGTCTTTGAAGGTCATTGATGTTCTCTAGCTATTACCATGAAGATTTGATCGAGGACTTCCTCACAATTTTCCAAGGATCATGTAACATCATCATTACTACATTTATAACCGAGATATATGTATTCTTTCAATAACCAAAGGTATACTGCTTTACTGATTTGATTTGCGAGTTTCATTGCATTGTTTTGATAAATTACTACTGAGCTCATGTTGCTTCCCGACCACATATAATTATTACATGTCTGCAACATAGAGAATTGAATCTCAAAGTCATATATGCTTATACGATTTTGGATTGATGCAAACGCAAGCCATTTTGTCTACTTTTTAGTTCATCAATCATGTTAGCCTTGTGATCACGTATTATTATTCCTATCTTTGTTTTGTAACAGTGTGCACACTCTCAATGAGAAGATTTGTGGTATGCTCTCTTTGCTTCTGGTTCTGTTTTTAGTGTACTTGAGCTTCGTTACAAATTGAAAAACTGAATGTTTTGCTGTGTTGTCCATTTCATTATAGCTGGTTATATGAGTTTGAGTTTAGTTCTCTTAGATAAGGGTATTGTAGTTTATGTGCTGTGGAATGCATTATGCATTTGCAGTTTTATGTGTTTGATACCGGAAGCATCTTGGCAGGAAGCCATCAATGTTGCTGCAAAAGACTGGGGTCTTCAGTGCCTTCGTTATGAGATCAGTGAGTTAATTTTTTGTTGAGTCTTTGCTGGTGTTTGCTGGATCTAATACATGTATATCCAGGGGATATCATGCCTCCTAATGGAGTAAGAGTTGCTATGGAAATGCAAGCTGAAGCTGTAGAAAGAGAGCCCAGATTCTCGAGTCTGCAGGTATCCTTAATAGTTTATGTTCTGGGATTGAAACTATGTGCATGCTACTGCACATTTCGTTCAAATTCCTTGGTTAAAGCTACCAATTTCTCCTTTTTAATTTATTTACAATTAGAACACAATATAGATCCTGCTTAAATTGTTCCTCATAATCTGCTATACTAACTTTAACAGGAGAACGTCAAGCCCATATCAACAGAGCTGATGGTAAGAAAAGTTCTGTAATCTTGGAATCAGAAGCTGCACAGATGGACCAAGTCAAACGAACTCAAGGTTAGTATTTAGTAAGCATTTAAGTTTGGAAAACTTGAACTCGTATATTAATAACACGTGGAGCCATTCATCAGGTGAGGCCCAAGCAAATATTAGCTAAAGCAAAAGCAACTGGTGCAATGGAGGTGAGTTGTTTCTAAGCATGGTTTCCTGAAATTTGAGATTAATGAACTAACTTGATTACTTAGGTGTTAATACTGTTTTATTAGATTGTTAGTTAATACATAAGTGTTTATTGCTCTACTTAACCCTTGAAATATGAATGCATTATACCATCTAATTTGTTTTCCCATAAATGATTCTCTGTAGATTTTGAATAAAAATTTCAGTGGCTTATTGAAATAGTGTCAAATTATGAAATCTCGGATGTGTTTGTTTTGTATTATGTGTAGCTAAATTCGGGAACGGCCACTGTCTGAGCCGCCTCAGGATACTTGAGATATGGGAGATATCACAGCCTTGAAGGTATAACTTTTCTAACTTTTATTTTTAATTAAGAATAATAGATTTTCATATATTTTTATATCTTCTAAAATATACATAAAAGAAAATTTTTTTTTTTGATATATTCCATTCTATTTTTTCTGATTTTAAACTATTAAGATTTTTTTAATCAAATTTCAAGTAAACAGTTTTAGTTTTGAATAAATCAAAATGGTTTTTTTTTTTTTGGATTAAATCTAAGTGTTAAATTTAATTACGTTGAAAACAAAATGGGCCGAACATCCAGTCCCTTTGTGGTCCGTTAGAGTTGTATAAGTTCAACATGTTTTCGCGTATTGTAAATTTAACGCTTAGGTTTAAAAGCTTTTTTATCATGAAGATTTTTAAATAAGTTTTGATTTTTAACAACAACATCATTATACAAAATGTTTTTATATTAAAAAAAATATAAATGTTAAATTAAAATATGATGAAAACAAATAGGATAGGGCATTCAAAATCCCTTTGTTTAAGGTCTTTTTTGATAAAAAGTTTTAAAGTAAATTGTTTTGACTTTTTAAGTAAATTGTTTTGATTTTTTAACTAAATTTGTCATTATACACTATAGTTTGGTGTATAAGTTTGAGTTTAATGCTTCAACTCATTAAACTCATTAATACCCATATTTTCATGAGTTAGAATGGTTTGACATCCCTAGCTTCAAGTTTAAAGGGTTTCTACAATTATTTTTTGACTTCTAACCAAAAATTTTCATCATACAAAATATTTTGGAAAAATATCAAAATTTAGATTCGTTGAAATAGAATGGCAAACTTTTCATAGCTTACGATATTATATAACATGTGTTTCTTTGGTTTTATGGCATTCGTGAGAGTTGAAATCCACACGTTGGCAACTGACCCTTGTGAAAATTTTAAAATTAATTGAATGTATATGTAATAAAAAATTTGACCCTTACAAAATAAGATAATTGACCCATATGAAATTTTTGTCCAATGCTAATTGACCTTTGTGAAACTTTAAAACGTACAGGTCTTTAAGCTTATACATAATATTAAGCCCAATAATTTTTCTTTCAAATAAATATATTATTGTTAAGTCCATTTAATTTGTTTGTCTATTATTATTAACCTAAAAACAAAAACGGTTGTGCTAAAAAAAAAAAACTGTTTAGCTTCTTTTTCTTTTTTGCATTTTTCTATTTTTAGTTTGAAATTTTTTTTGACCCTGGTAAACAGTTTTTCTATCTCCGCCACTGAACGTTCAGGTTTACGAATTGGGGGATCTTATTGCTTGATAAAAACTTAGATTCCTCCGCAAACCAAATATGCGGTGAGCAGTACTTGCAAAGTGAATAGTTGCTCTCCTTTGGTCTCCGGACCATAGTTGCTCAAATAGGAACACTTGTCCGCGTTATTCGAATGTGAAGTTCACCGTCATTTAATTAGTCTGTGCAACTATGCGTTCGTCCGTTATGCTGTATCCATTTTCAGCTTGGTTATACCAAACTAAAGTTCGAATCGAATCGCGCATATCTTCCGTTTTCAGCTTGGTTAATGGGCCTTCAGCAAAAGACCCTTCCTGCCATAAGTGTAAGGTTGGATTGTTATCTACCAACAAAATTTGCTAGTTACTATATTGGAATGACAATTTCAAATCTCAATTTTGTGATATTGCTCTAACCGGTTACAAGTACTAAAAGACTTAGGTGATTAGATTGAAGAAGGACAATACCAAACTGTGCAGCCTCTAATCCTTGTAACTTGCAAGTTGTAAGCATCACAAATTCTGAATTTAAGCTTCTTTGTGTACCCTAGAATTACACTTTTGGAACTTGTGAAAACAATTGTCACTTGTATTGGATACATATGTTTGTTATACAGCTTTACTGATTAGACATTGTTTCCAAATTATACAGATAGAAAGGTGTGATCAGATCTAAGTTACGATTGCAGCTTTAACCACCCGTTAGGAGAAGAACCAAGCAAGAATCATGGGCATAGTAAAAGATTTTGCATTTTCTAATATCAGTCACAAGTTTTTCTCTCTTTTACCAATTCAAGACTCAAGCAATACATCAATACTATTTAGAAAGGATTTTCAAAAAAATTATTATTCTATTATTTTATCGAAATATGTCTAAAATTACACTAATCCCAACTTGAGACTGGAAAAATTTATTAATTTATAGAGAGTATTAATTTATAGAGGTTATTAATTTATAGAGGTTATACGGTACTTTCATTCCAATGATATTTTCGACCCAAAATCAAATATCTTTCTATTGATTTTAAATAAATATGAATATAAAATGGATACATTTTGATTCATGAAAGCAAACGAATAAAAAATAAATAAAAAACTCTTTGGAGGAAAATAAGCCGTGTGTCTTTGTGATTCTCCTCAAAAGCTTAACAATATATTTAGAATCAAAGATTTTTATTATTTTATATTTCTACAGATAAAAGGAATAAGGCTTTTTAAGCTTCAATCAAACAAAGCTTATAGCTGAAGATAAATAAGAACTTGTTATCACATAAAGCAAAAAAAAATAAAAATAAAGATGAAACTTGTTCGTCCTTTATTGTACATCTAAAAGACTAAATATTATGCCCATAATGTTTTCTTTTGCCTTTTATATTCATTTTACATTATGTATGATCCTCATTTCTTTTTGCGCATGGCATATATATTTTTGTCAAATTCTATTACAAATATTGATTCTAATCGTCTACAGTTGAAAGTCATTTTAAATTTCCAGGTAGGAGATAATTTGATTTGAAACATATTCGAGTTGATGATGCTTTCTTTCTCATCTAATATATATCCAAAATTCCAAACTAATTATGTAGCTTATGTTTTTTTTTTTTTTTTGGGCAAACAGTTATATATGTGTAGTTTATGTTCAATGATTGTTATTTGTTAGGTACAATTATATAGGAGCCACCAGATATATAGTTGTAGAGACAATGTTAGGCTACATTGTCTCTTTGTTGGTTAAGAAGAGAAGGCCACAGGATTCACAAACGTAGCGATTTAACTTAAACATACACGTAGGAAATTAAATGATGATTTCTTCTAAGAGAGTTTAATTAATCCACGACCATAGTAGTATAGTATAGTACTGCATGCTTTGCGTTGTCGAGCTCGAGAACACGAACTTTGGACAAAACGAAGGACCTTAAGTTATGTCCCGGCCGTAACACCGATCGATTTGTCTTCATAGAATTTTGAATACCAACATTTCTATGTTATGTTCCTATGCTTTGTTCTTTTAATTTGTTTAGACTTTGGAGAAAAAACCAACATTTTCCAGAAGGCACAACCCGAGGAAAAAAAAAAAAAACCTAGTGAAAACATACTACAATAGATTTACACATGCAAAAGTTTATTGAAGTTTAACAATAGGCTAATGCTAATCATGCATGCATGGGGCCTCTTGAGTATATTATCGAGATTGAGATCTTAGTAAGAATTAAATTCGTGCATATATTATGTGGCATTTGATAGATTAGACACACATACATGTTACATTAAGATATGAATAATCACTACAAAAAAACTGGTTGATTGCATCACTTAAATAGTATCACAAATATAAATGATATCATTTTAAATTATTTATTAATAAATGATGTAAAATATATAGTTTAGTATCAGTTATAATAATTGATGTGGTATTCAAATTATTTGACATCGATTCAACAAAATTGATATAATTTAATTTTAATTTGCATCACTACAAAAATATTTGATACAAAATATAAATTCACATCACGTAAAAAATGATACAAATTAAATATCAATTAAATAAATGATACAAAATTGATATCAATACTTAATTGATGCTAACTAACACATATTTGATTATATATATAAAAAAGAATTCATTAGCATAGATTTTTCTGTTTGGAATCAAGATTTTTTATTTTCAAATGTCGAACCTTGTTTTTTTTTGGGTTTAAATTATTCACTCTTTATAGGATTTATTAAAAATCTATATTCATGTATAAAAATTATTTTTATTTTTAATCTTAAACTGAAAATTCCTTTCCACACTACCCAAATCCACGATCTTTGTAACTACTCAAAAA